TAGTAGTAATTCCCGGAATGAAGTTCCAATCAAAGTGGTACAACGAGTGTGCTAAAGGAGATTGGGTATTGGCAAAACCAAATGCAAGTCCGAGACATATTCTCCTTCCGGCACCGAAAGGCAAAAATCCAAAGTGGTTTTCCATAAAGGCCATGTTTGGTAAATGACTGTTAGCTGATTGTGTTAATTAGAGGGTATAACTAGTTGATAACATTAGTTGTCGTAGAAAAGTGTTGGTAAATTAACTATTAGCTAATAGTTGTTTGGTATAATTTCTTTTCTGAAAAAGCTAATTGAAAAAGTTGCTTAGAGTAGCGTTTTGAATTTTAGCATTTTGGAATTGCATAAGCTAATTAACCAAACACTTATATTGATAGTTTATATTGATAGTTTAAGCTAAGTAGATTAGCATTAGGACCAATCATAATCTAGCACATTTATTGCTATTACTAAAGCACCTTTATTGCTATTACTAGCTCTCTTGCTACGTCTAGCTTTGAGCTCGGGTTCTCTTTCACACCCTTCAACCATAGCTACGCCGAAAGTTCCTTTCAACGTGCTAGGTCCTTTATTGATCCTTCACAAAAATACATCTTCCAAGAACGATGAATTTCTTGAATCAATCTTTCGTGTTCTTATGTACATCCAAACTCTTGGACTCGTGTACTAAGAACCAATACACACCTTTGGCAAGACACCCCCACATTTCGGGCATTAGAAGGAAACTTCCTACGTACCCACAATTCGTAAGAATTCCATGTGGGTAACCTTATTTAAAAGGTATTTACTTGTCCAAAGTATTGTCTCACCCTCATACTTTGAGGTAGACCCGAACTTATCAACGTCTTGATATTTTATGTTCGGCAACAACGCTCGATTGAGGTGAATACCGTGTCGTACGCTCGAGTACGATACCAATGCTTGCGCCGAAATCACCAATAGGTGTTTCTTTTTCACCACATCGATTGTTCGTAACCGCATTAATCCACGATTAATTTAGTTTTTCTCTTTTTATTCTTTAAAGAATAAACATGTGTTACACGCTAACACATCTCGTAGGTGCTAACAGATTAGCCCTCACGAATCCATTCGGTTTTGACCGAAAGGCCACAAACCCGAATTAGTGCTTCCGAAGTTAAAGCGCGAATGAGTGCTTACTAGTGAAGCACGAAACATGCTACACAAAGCACGAATCATTGCTACCAAACTAACGCACCGATTCCAAAGCAATCCCTATTGCTTTAAATTATAAACTCATAGCAACCTTCGGTTGCTTAATTTATAATTTCAGTGCTACTTAGCACTAGGATTTTCAATTAATTCCACAATTAACCAAACTTCCTTTTGTGCTAATCACATAACACTTTTACAACGCTAAATTTAATTAGCCACATACTATACGAAAGGTTTAAGCTAAGTAGATTAGCATTAGGACAAATCATAATCTAGCACCTTTATTGCTATTACTAAAGCACCAAATGATTAAGTTTTCAACACCTAAAGGTGCAGCCACCAAGTGGCAGAAAGTGCCTAATTAAGCACTCTACCTAGTGCTTAATAGCACTATTGCAGTGTTCTAATTTGCACTTCAAAGTGCCAAATTAAATTGCACTTTCCATTAGTGCTACAAAAGTACTATTCACCAAAATACAATTTGTCTCAAATTAAATATACTAGTGTAATTTGGAATTTTTTTATCAAGTTAATTATAACACAATTAACGAGAACAAATCAACCAAATTTTCCAACTAGTTGAATCAAACTCATATAATCGTTCTTAGAATATTATATAAAATATTCAACACTTGAGTTGTGACGCTCACGATTGTATAGTTATCCCAATTTTTGACAAATTGATCCTTGAAATCTGTATCGTTCTACATGAACTAGAACCGAAGTTCGTTACGGGATTTCAACATGTAACACGCTTGTTACATTTCGTTCCGGCCGTTAAGCCGTTTTAGCATTTTCCACATAATGCTCCGTGATGCACCACGCACCCATATTGAATTATTTCATACATTTGACATTATTCTAACAAATAATTCGTATGTACCAAAATTCAACTCAATGGAACAATTATATTTTTATTCGAATAAAATATTACAAGGATACTACAGTATTTATTAAAAATAAATAAATAGGAAAAACTACATTGGAAATAAATTCCTTATTCCTATCTCGTAGTAGTCCTTCAACTCGTGTGCCTTGTTCCATTTTCCAACCGTCCACTTCACGAAGGGTGGTCCATAGCGCACATCGGGGGTACCTCGGTTGTGACCTCACTCGTCCAACCATCCACATGTTTTAAACATAGCGAAATTGTCCTCAACCTTTTCACCAGGATGACGGTTCGCTTCATAGTGGCATTTTTCCTTCTTCTCGTAATCTTCTTAAAAGCTAAGCTTCCGCTTAAGTTTCCTTTGATTACGGTTGAAGTCATTGGTCACACTACAATAGTCCTCACACCATGTAGTTATTACACCATCATAGGATCCTTCGTGGCTTTTAGCCGATCCACTAGACAACACAATAGGTACCAATTGTGTGCCATTAGCCACAGGTCTACCGGATCGTGAACCAAAGTTCTCTGGAGCACCATCGTGTGTTTTTGCAACTCCCATGGAAATATTATTTCCAACGTTGCTGCCATCAACTGGCATCACGGAATGTGCAATATCGTTGCCGTTCCGACCATTTGAATGTGCACCACGAGCAACATTCACGGATCCAACACTTTTGGAATCCATCGACTTGTTCATTATCAAAAGTATATAAGGTTTTAAGATTGTTGGTGATAATGAACCACAATCGATTTAATATCCGTAAAATAATATTTATATATATACACACGAAATATATATATAAAATATTATTGGATATATATCCGAAATATATATATACACACAAATATATATAAAACGGACCCAACGGTTATATATACATGTATATCTATGAAAAAGATATACCAATATATATCAACCAAAAAGAAAATATAATCCTTAGATTATAATTCCAAAACAACAAGAAAGAACGGATTTTTGCTTAGAGCATAATCCAAAACAAGAAAGAAGGAGAAGGAAGAAAGATTCGTACGAGTTAGGCAAAGTGCCTGTCTTTCCTTAAAACCTTATTTTCCACCTCCCAAAAGTGCTAGGAGCGTTGTGGCCTAGGTTTCCCAGGATAAAACGTACAACGGTTCGACGTTTGAGCACCCAAATGAACGAACCCGGCGAACTAGAGCATGGGACGAACACAGCTACAAGAAGGGAGTAGGAGCAGAGATTTTGGAGCTGGGAAAACAGAATTTCAGTGTTGTGTGTGTTGTTTTCAGTCTGTGTCGAAACACTGCTGCTACACCCCTTCTTATATGGAGGTGAGGAATCAATAGCATTTAGTTTAGCATTTAATCCACGATTTGTAACACCTGAAACAGCCACCATTATTGAGATTTAACACCTAAAACAGCCACCATTATTGTAATCCCTTTTCCCTTACATTTTTCCAACTGAAACAGCCGATTGACAATCCGTTCTTTCCCTTAGCACCTGAAACCACCATCACTTTTCCCTTACATTTTTCCAACTCAATGGGTCTACTTTGAGAATCAATATCTCATTCACCCATTATCCGTTTTGAGCGTACAATATATCAATCTCTTCGTCTCACTACGAAGAACCCGAATCCACTTTGACCCGATTCAAATCGAAAGTGAACCCCACTGATAATTGTACCACAAAATAGCCACTTAACATGTCATTTTATGCCATTTTAATGCTATTTTTCCAACACAGTAATCAATACTCTTGCTTTAGCCGGTATGGTGTATCCGCAAACCACAGCTTCTTTCATGCACTCTCTGGGACCTAACAATGGACTCGGAAGACGACATCTCAAAGTTTCTTTGACCACTAACTTGAGATATTGTAATTGGTCCGTAATGTCATCTTCTTCCAACTTCTCTTTCCCTTTGAAGGCTTCTCTCACTTCAGCATGCGCCTTGGCCAACACCCTAGGATTTTTCATCATTTCCGACATTGCCCACACTACCACCGCTGATAATGTCTCTGTTCGAGCTACAAAAAGATTCTGCATATGTAGTATATACTATGTAAAACTTTAATTTAAAAATGTACTATACTGTGTAAAAATTTATATTGTTAAAAGGTGAATTCGAAGTGTAATTACCTCCCCATTCAGTGCAATTAATGATAACGTTATGCGCATTTTATGCTATTGTTGGGTGTACGTTATATTGTTGCAAGGTGCACTCTTAACGCAAACTATAACTAAATCAAATTTAAAAAGTTAAACCGTAAACCAAACACACCAAAAAAAAAATAATAATAAATAAAAAATAAATAAATTGTGGAAGGTAGATAGTTTCTCAAAGTTCAAGTTATTTATGAAAATGTCATGACATAGACATATACGATATTGCGCGAGAAAAGAGCCTCTATGCTAAATAATTCAAACTCCTAAATGGAGTCTTGTATATATAGTGTTGCAAATCTACGTACTACCCAAACCAAAATGTGAGACAAGTGCTTTGTCAGAGCCTTTTTCCCTCTATTTTTCAACTCAAATTTCGTTTGAGAACCCATTTCGATCTTAATTAACCATTATCCATTTTGAGTGTATAATATATCGATTTCTTGGTCTCATTATGAAAAATCTAAATCAACTTTGACCTAACTTAAATCAGAAGTGGATTCCACATATGTTTGTATTACAAAATAACCACTTAAATGTCATTTTATGCTAAAAATCCCAATAATTACATGATGTTTCTTCTGTTGATCTTCTCCACTATTGTACTATATATTTGTTCTCAAAGCTCAATAATAATCATCTATTCATTCATATATACTTTACATAAACTGATGCTGAACTTAAGCGGATTATAAATTCGCAGTTTATGTTCTCACAAAGAAAACTTGTGTTCAAACAAGGATGTCGCATGTTGAAAGTTGCCAAGAATGGAGTAATACAATACTCTCAAACAAGAATTCGATCGTATTATATATGTAATTAGTAAATAGGACGAGGTACATTAATATTCAAGCTGTTTGCAAAACATTATCCCATCATGCTAGCTAGCTAGGTGGGATTTTATTTGGTAGAGTAAGTATATATGTATATTACTTTACAAGATGGATGGGAGTAGGAATCAAGAAAAGATCATTCTTTCTTGTAACAGTTACTCCGTTCATTTCCGTCATGTCCAATGTATCAGCAGTAACTCCAGGAGGGAGCTTCCAATCAAAGTGGAAGAGCAAGTGTGCTAAAGGTGACAAAGCGTTGGCAAACCCAAACCCAAGTCCCGGACATATTCTCCTTCCACCGCCAAAAGGTAAAAATTCAAAGTGATTTCCTATAAAATCAATTGAACTATTCTTCTCAAATCTCTCGGGTATAAAGCTCTCTGGATCTTCCCAATATTGGGGGTCCCTACACATAGCCCACACATTAATCAATACCTTTGATTTGAGCGGTATGGTGTATCCGCACACCATAGTTTCTTCCATGCACTCTCTGGGTGTTAACAAAGGAACCGGAGGATGAAACCTTAAGGTTTCTTTTACCACTGATTTCAAGTATTGTAATTCCTCCATATCTTCCTCCTCTAACTTCTCTTTCCCTCTGAAAGCTTCTCTCACCTCAGCCTGGGCTTTGGCCAAAACCCTGGGATTCTTCATCGTTTCCGACATTGCCCACACAGTTGTTGTTGCTGATGTCTCACTTCCTGCTGTAAATATTTCCTGAATGCATGCATGCATGCTCCAACAAACGTTAACCCATTTGAATTTAAGGATATATAGCTAGCTTATTATGACGTACGATGTCAATAACATATGTACTTACAGCAATTACGCCTTTGATGCTGTCATGAGTGATGGGCAGTTGAAGGCCACCCTTATCCATTTGTGTTATGAGGAGATCAATTAAACAATCACCACTTTCCAACTTCTCTCTGTGCTCTTTTATGATGTTTTCAATAATTCCGTCTACTTTTCGGTGAGTTTTCATGATCCTGGTCTTGTTGCTGCACAGGCCGTGAAGAACCTTCCAAGACGGAAACACATCGGCGAAATCAAATTTCCCCAGCAACTCCGATATTTCCTTTATTTGCTCTAAGAACTCTTCTCTCCCGGTGAATACCTTACCTGCAGTATCTATTATTGTTAACTAGCTAGCTTTCTCTAAATCATGTATGGAATAATATTAAATTGAATTGGGTGTAATTTGGTTATAATTGAATTGTAATTCAATGAAGGCCTGAATTATAGTGTTTGGTTGTAGGGAATTGCAATTCCCTCCTTTTATTGAATTGCAATTCATGGGTACCTTATTACAATTCAATGAATTTGAGAAAGGAAAACTAGATCAAATGACACTACTATTGCTATTAGGAATAAGGGTCAAATAGGCCACTGAACTGCACACAAGAATGCAATTAGGCCACTGAATCTAAAAAACCTACAAATAGGTCCCTAAACTAACCAATTTCATTACATTTGTTCATTTTTCAGGTTTCTCAAGTTGCTAACAGGTTACCCCTCCACCTAGCTAGTTAGCTTTCTCGAAATCATGTACGGAATAATATAATCTGCACTAAGGGCGTGTTTGGTTCTTACATCAGAATCAGAATGGGAATCATGGTAATAGTATGAATTTTGGTGAAATATTTTGCATGGTTGATAGTAGGGTGGTGATATGGTATATACGGGGTACAATACGTGTACAGGCAAAGGCCGAGGCTCGGGTTCCCACTGAAGGGTCGGGAAGCTCCGGTCTTGCCTCGTGCCAAAAGTCATTTTCAAGCTGCATTTAATGCGCTTTATATAGAGGGTGGGAGAAGGCATCTCCGGGTTCTCGGCATGGCGGGCACGTGGCGGGCATGCATCTGACCCTGGCGGGGCCGAATGTCTAACTGCCACGCGGCGTCCAAAGCCTGACCCTTTCTGGGTTCATGGACCCTCAGCCGAATCGGGTCCGACCGACAAAGGCAGGCCGATCGGTTCTAACAGCGATTCGAGCCAGGGAAGGGACACGGTCGGGCCGAGCGCCTTCGGTCGATCGGTCGGTCGGGCCGACGCGCGGGGCTAGGTACGCTCGTTTTAGCAGGGGCCGGGTGTACAGGTGGTTACCTGTTGTATGGCTCGGGGTCCGGGGGTATATCCTTATCAGGTGGAATTGAAATGATTACCAATATTAATATTTGGTTATATATAACTCTATAATGAGAATAATTAAGTATTTTAAAAATACAAAAGCAAAAAATTAAGAGAATTAATCCTAATATAATGACATCCAAAACACTAATATAAGCAAAACAAATCAAAACAAAAATCTAAAAGGCAGTAATTCAAATTTAAAAAATCATATTACCAATCAGATGTAATGATACATTTTTTAATTAGGGAGTGTGATTTTTAATTAAATCAGTAATCAAATCTCGTAGTCGGTGTTTTAAAAAATTACCAACAAAACACTAACTATAATTTTGATTCTCATTCCTTCCTAGTGTTGTAAACCCATGGACTAAACACACCTAAATTAAATTTGGAATTGAACCCATGCATCTAGATAGTATTGTTCCATACTACGAAAAAAAAACACTAAAAATATAATTTTGAAAGAGTCAAATTAAATTGCCGCACGTCATCGATCTGATCTTACCAAATGCAGATTTGCATATAATGGAGGACATAAGTAAGAAGATTCTGCCAGTGAGATTCACCAACTGGCCGGAAGATGAACGGAGATGGGCCAATAGACAATGGATCTCATCGTGCCTGATTGAACTGAACGACCGGACATTTTTAGCGTTGAGGAGCTCTGTGGCGTATACTTTCCGCAATTGTCTCCAATAATCACCGTACGGAGTAAGCGCAACGCCCAAACCATTGTAAAATAGTGTTTTACCGGCCAGAGACTGCAACTTGGTCGCGAAAGTTAGGTCGTGGGTTCTTAGCAACTCTTTAGCCACCGCCGGCGAAGATACCACCACAGCTGAAATTTCTCCGATTTGAAGCTTCATCATTCCCTGGGAGCCGTATTTTTTTACCAACTCTCCCAGGACACGGTGGGTGGGTTTCTGTGAATCTGACATGAATTGGTGCAGGTTTCCGATGATCGGCAGCTTCGGCGGCCCCGGTGGCAGATTCCGGCGGGTTTTTGCCTTCTTCCTCCACAGTGTGTGGAGTAAAATGAAAAAAGAAAGAAAGAAGACGAAAGAAATGAAGTTGAATGCCACCTCCATCACTGAAATTAGAGCAAGCAAGATTGATATATTATTTTATCCCGGGGATTTATTCAAGGCCAAGGCTGCACTTATATAAGCTAGGGGATTTGACTTGGCAGCCATGTTTTTTAATATTTTAGTTTTTATAATAACAATAACATTTCTTTAAAAAAAATAAAATTAAAGCATAGATTATTTGAAGTTTATTTGTTCATCTAAAAGTACGAAAACAACACATGAACTATCAGATTTGACAAAAAATAAACATGGTCAAATAAAAATTCAGAATCATTCAAGGATTATTTAAAAAACCCTAGATTTATATGTATAAATTGTTTGCCAGTAACACGTTTCCTGAGAAATTTTAACCTGAGATATGTTTCCAGAAACATAGATCGAAGTAGGAGAATAATTAGAAATAAACCTCGAATATGTACTATCATCTTTGATTCAAGCTGTATAAGTTATCCTCGACTCTCGCCGGTAAATATTTGCCGGCGAACTTTTCACCTGAGAAAGAAACATTGTTAGGGCAATTCATAACCTAGGTCAACTAAGATCTGAGGCGATTGGCTCGATTGTTTCAAAAATCAAGCATGTAGTTACGGATCTATGAACTTTTAGGCAAGAATCATAGATTAAGCGTAAAGAGTGAAGTAAAATATACGTTTTTATTTTTATTTTATTCTTAGTATTAGCATGTATAGGGATTAGTAATATTAATAAAATTATATCTGATATTGAAATTTTGTACTTCCACATCTGATTTAATATAATATTGTTTTTTTTTATTTATTTAAACTATTATTACCATCTTTAATTAGATTATAAAAATAATCATAACTACTATAATAATACAAAGAGTATATAATTTTTAAAGTATTATACTTAATCATTTTTATGGTAATATTTTTTACCTTTATATATTAATATTTTTTGTTATTATTAGTGAGGAGAAATTTTAATTGTTTTGGTAAATAAATTATAAATTGGAAAATACATCTCAATATTACTTTATTTTAAAATATTTTTAAAGTGGGTTTATTGAGCAAAATTGTGGATCCTCAAATGAGAGGTTTCAGGTTCAAACCCTAAAAAAAAGTCTTTTTTCTACTAACTTAGTTCCTAAGTATTAGGAAATAAATTTTAATATAATTATTAACAGTATTATTATATTGTCAATTCTGATCTGTGATAGTTGTCAAAAGAACTTCTCTATTTAATTTGTAGTTAAGTCAAGCTTTAGGTATTTGAGTTATCTTTTATATTTTTTATTATTGTTTATTTAATTTATGCAATTATTGAAATAATATTAATAAATTAATACCTTTCAATAAGTATTTAATTTTCGATGCATTTATTTGTATTCGCAGTTTGAGCATGTGAGAGCTGCGCTCCAAGTAATAACTAAGAATAACATATGAACAATATATTTTGCTGTGTCTGGTTCATTCTCAATCTTCATACACAATGGACGTATTTATATTAAATTACTAATACCTAATTCAAGTGGTTCCCAAATAAACAGTCCATTCTACCAAATTGTTAGTGAGAAGTAGTCAGAAATTTTTTAATGACTAAAATGATGAGGGGCAAATTTATCTTTTACTTCTTCTCTTCTCTTTCTTCTCCATTTTATATACGTTCAAACAAGCTAAGGTTGTTGATTGTTGACATGCATCCACTTGTGACTTGCCAATTAAAAAATAGAGTAATACATACTAACAAATTAAATAACAATAAAATCTTATTATTGAATTGGAAGGAAAATAGTAGAGTACAATAGTACTACTCATCATCTTGCATGCAATATGGAAAACAACACTAAAGAGTATTCATATTTTATTATAAATGTCCCCAAATGAACTTAAAGAGTGAGATTTTATTTTGGTATATTATTAGAATTGATTGATTAACAGGCTGCCGGAGAAGTAGGAATCAAGAAAAGATCATTCTTCCTTCCGGCAGTTAGTCCGATCATCTCTGTCATGTCCAATGTATTTGCAGTAATTCCCGAAATGAAGCTCCAATCAAAGTGGTACAACAAGTTTGCTAAAGGAGATAGGGTATTGGCAAAACCAAATACAAGTCCGGGGCATATTCTCCTTCCAGCACCAAAAGGCAAAAATTCAAAGTGGTTTCCCATAAAGTCAGCTGAATTCTTCTCAAATCTCTCGGGTATAAAGCTGTTTGGATCCTCCCAATATTGAGGATCCCTGCTGATTGCCCACGCATTAATCAATACTCTTGCTTTGGCCGGTATGGTGTATCCGCAAACCACAGTTTCTTCCATGCACTCTCTGGGACCTAACAATGGACCCGGAGGATGACATCTCAAAGTTTCTTTGACCACTGACTTGAGATATTGTAATTGGTCCATGATGTCATCTTCTTCCAACTTCTCTTTCCCTCTGAAGGCTTCCCTCACCTCAGCCTGCGCCTTCGCTAACACCCTAGGATTTTTCATCATTTCGGACATTGCCCACACTACCACTGCCGACGATGTCTCCGTTCCAGCTACAAAAAGATCCTGCATATATATGCTCCCATCAAATAGTATACTATGTAAAAATTTAATTTAAGAAAGTAGAATTTATATAAATCATACGAGGACTATGGCTTTGATGATGTCGTGGGTGATAGGCAGTTGAAGGCTTCCGTTTCTCTCAAGTTTGATGAGGACGTCAATTATATCTTCACCCCCTTGGCCTAACTCGTGACCACTTTCAAAGTTGTTTTGGTGTTCTTTTAGGATGTTCTCAATAATTGCGTCTATTTTACGGTGAACTTTCACAATCCTATTCTTGTTCCCGCACAGGTTGTGAAGAAGCTTCCAGGAGGGAAATACATCCTCAAACTGAAAGCCTCCCAGGATAGCCAACATCTCCTCCAACACCTCAATTAACTCTTCTTTTCCAGTGAATACCCTGCAGCCTATTAAAAGTATGTAATAGATTAGAATTAATTAAATTCTGATCGAATTGAACTTCACAGTACACTTCATGAATATGATGGTTGGCACTCCTCACGTGCTAGGGGCTATTAATTGGCTCCCTGTATTTTTTCTTTTATTTTTTATTTTTTAAAAAATTTGTATAAATTTTTAAAAATTTTTTAGACGGAATAATTATAAACTATTTAATACTTTAATAGTTAATACTAAAATATTAAATATTAACCTAAAAAACATTGAGTTTGAACAATTTAGAGTTATTTTGCTCAAAGCGGTGTTATTTTGAAAGAAATAACCAATTAAAAAACGAATGGAACAATAACTAATTGGCCGACTAGGCTACCTAGTCGATGCCAAAGCGGCCTAGTCGGTGCCTAGGTGGCCTAGGCGGTGCTTAGATGGCCTAGTCTGCCACCTAGCTGGCCAACGGCCTAGACCACCGATTATGGTTATACTTTAGGCGATCAGCCAGCGCCTAGCTCCTAGGCATTGATTAATCTGTGCTTAGATGAGATTTTTGAAACATTAATGAATATCATGGTTGAAAAAATCACTAGGCACTCCTTAGGCGCTCGGGAGCTTCTAGGCGGCGATTAGTCAGCGCGTAGGCATAGTCAGTGCCTAGGAGGCCTAGACGGTCTAGTCTGCTGCCTAAATCACTACTTGTGGTGATACACTAGGCGGAAGGCTGGGGCTTGGTGCCTAGGCACAGATTCGCAATTTTACAACACGGATGAATATATCATCTTACCCAAGGCGGATCTGCATAAAAGGGAGCTGGTAAACAAGGAGATTCTCTTAGAGAGATTGACTGGCCTCTCCAAATATGAACGCAAGTCAGTCAATAGATGCTTGATCTCATCCTGCCTGATGGAGCTGAAGGAGCGGATAAGTTTTGGGTTAAGGAGCTCCATCACACATATTTTGCGCATTTGTCTCCAATGATCTCCGTACGGGGAGAACACAATGTCCGAAGAATTGTAGAAGAGTATCTTGGCGGCCATAAGTTCCGGCCTGGTGGCAAAAACCAGGTCGTGAGTTCTTAGGAACTCTTTAGCCATCTCCGGCGAGGACACGATGACTGCTGAGATTTCTCCAATTTGAAGGTGCATGAGGCCCGACGAGGAGCCGTGCCTTTTGGCTAAATCTCTAAGGACGTGGTGGGCGGGCGATGAGCCACACAAGTGGAGCAAGTTTCCGATGATCGGCAGCTTCCACGGGCCGGGCGGCAGGAGTTTCCCACTGCGGCGGCTTTTCGGCTTCTTCCATCGTCTGCGGACTAAAATGATGAAACAAAGAAAGAACGAGAAACAAATGAAGTTTATTATTATTGTGGCCTCCATTAGAGAATGAAACTAAAGAACCAGCAAGTATCTATCTGATCTTATGGCTCCTTAATTTCTTAGTTCAAGCCCAAGGCAGCCTATATATATACCTAACAATTTTTTACACCACACCCAAATATAATAATACCTACAATTTAAAAACAATCCATTCAAATTTGGTGGCAAATTAATTTGTATTATATTTTGTGCAACAGTATTTTATTTGTGGGGTATCTTGGAGACATTTTGTGCTTTATTTGGAGTCGTTTGAGCTTATTATATGCTTAGAATAACTTAATTTGCATAAAGTTAGACTAAGACTAATTGTGATGGCATTTGTGCATTATAGGAAAACAATGCCATTTTAAGGGAACTTTTGCGATGTCTCGACATTTTGATCATATCTCAAATTAGGATCGTTCAACTTTTGCGATGTCTCGGCATTGAAATAGAAACTCAAAGGGCTACAACTTTTCTAAAGAAAACAAATTATAATTTGGACATCTTCAAAGTCTAATTTAGACATCTTCTAGGTCAAACCAGTACGAGAATTGCACACTTGTACAAAGTTCGTTTAGGAACTAGCTGAAAGATGCACTAACGTGCGTAGGCGCGTGCAAACCTCGTGCGTGGCTATGAAAATTAGCCTTTATGAAGGATTGACGACTGTATAAGTTTAAGGAATAGAGATAGTTAGGGGAGTTAGATTAGATTTCCATTTTGCAAAGTTATTTTGTGCTTTAGTTCTTAGAACTCCCTCTAGGGTTAGGTTTCAATTTGACGCATTGTATCTAATTCCTTGGGGGAGATTCAAGATCAATGGATGGAGATTCAAACTAAGTGATCTCTACTTTAATTCCTGTTAGAAAAAATCATACAAGCGCAGCGGAACCATCACTCGCTTTTCTTAGGTTCTACGTTTAAAGAGGGAGTTAGAATGATGTTACCCTTGAAGAGTGCTTTGGCAGAATAAACAGCTTGAACCGTCCGATTGTTCGGTCTCTAGTCTGTCCACCGGCCAGGCACGCGAGAACTCCCCCTTTGAGATTGGTCTCTTTTTTAAAGATATATTCTATGAAGAATTTTGAACTTGAAGAATTTTGCTTTGTTGCTCTCAGAAGTATTGCGTTTTTCATGTCTTCATGCCCTTTTTATAGATTATCAAATATATCCGTTGGAGTGAAATAATTTGATTTTTGAAATCTTGAAAGTTGTAGCCTGATATGATAAGTTGACAAATTAATCTTCTCTTTGGACTTGATTTGTAACTTGATTTTGACAGATTGATCTACTCCTTGCAACGGCAAATTATTCTGAGCATCCGTATGCACCATGCATGGTGCATACGGATGCAAAAACGACGTCGTTTTAATAAAACGCGCGTCTCCCCTTAAAAAAAAAAAATCAGGTTCGATTCCTAACAACAACATATGAACTAAAATTCCATAATCGATGAACTATAATTCCATAATCTAATCTATGAACTAAAAATTCTAGAATGAATGAACTAAAATTCCATAATCTATAAACTAAAATTTCAGAATCGATGAACTACAATTCCATAATCGATGAACTATAATTCCATAATCAATGAACTATAATTCCATAATCTATGAACTAAAATTCCAGAATGAATGAACAATATAATGTTGTTGCTGGGAATCGAACCTGAATTTTTTTTAAAGGGGAGACACGCGTTTTTTAATAAAACGACGTCGTTTTGGCATCCGTATGCACCATGTATGGTGCATACGGATGCACAGCATAACGATTGCCTTGCAACTTGGTATGTGCATTCAGGCTTTGTTGACTTTGTAATTCCTTCCGCATTTTGCATGTAATCTTCATGAAAATTTCATAGAAATATTTTAATGTAGTAGATGACCATCGTAAAAGACTGCTTCTTGTGTCTCTTGGTGTTATGATCTTGATGATATTTGAGTTCTTGATCTCCAAAAATTACTCCTTGAAATAGATTGATCTTTTACTATGCTTAATTTTGAAGTTAAGTATCATTTTGATCTCTTCTACTACTTAGCTCTGTTTGACAGATCTTCTAACTTATTTTAAGCTACTAATAAGCTATAAGCTCGATTTGGTAATATTCCCAAAATAAGCTAGTAGCTTAAAATAAGAGCTTATTTTGAAAAGCTATTGTTAGCTTTGAAAATTTAAATGGGCTGACTTGTGTAGTGTTGGGCATTGATTGATAATTAATTACTTTAATTTTGTAATTGGACTAATATTTATTTACGGGTTAATTAAATGACCCAATAAATATTTAATTAGTTTAATTACTTAATTAAGGGTAATTGGTTGTTGGACTGCTTGACCTAAGTTGATGAAATATTTAATGGAATTGGACCATACTATTTGGATTAATTGGGCTGCATAGTTGCAATCATTATTGTGTGGACCATGGTCCATACAAATTGTGTGGATCATATTTTGTATACTGTAAAATAATGTACATTCATTATAAAAATAATGTATATTCATTACAAAAATAATGTACATTGTATTCTGGGGATGTACATTATTTGTGTACTAAGTGTACATTATATTGTATAATGTACATTCAGTACAAAATAATGTACCTTTAGTATATTAAAAATATACTTTTTGATATGGTTCACATAACACTGTGTGAACCATGGTCCACACAATAATTTGCCGCATAGTTGACGAGTGTGACTTGGTTTTGGCCCATCAAAATTATATGTGGATTATATAATTTTGAAGAAATTGGATAATTTGATATTATTTGAAATTAGATGAAATGATGAACCTGGACGTAATAGTGTCCCGATAGATTCCTTAATTTAATTCAAGTAATTAAATTAAATCTAGGAATTATCCAAAGTATAGAGTTGGTTAGAGATTTCTCCTACATACTCACTACTATAAATAGTGGTTTCATTTTGGAAAAAATAGAGCTCTGAAGATCTGCATACCGAAGCTCTGCTCTTTGAAGATCAAGTTGCATATAAGTCCTTCATCGAAGAACAAACTACTTAACTCCGGAGGCCCTTCAACAATTCGACATACTTCCAGTTCGGCATACTCCGGACTTGGCATACTTCCAGTTCAATATACTCCGAACTCGGCATACTTCCAGTTCAACATACTCTGAACTCGGCACACTTCCAATTCGGTATATTCGGCACACTTCTAATAGGCATATTGCTAGAAGAGAATCAGAGGGCTTCTCATATACAGAGATTGTACGCCTTCTTGTTTGATACATAGTACTCTGACACTTTGAATTTGAATATATACCATTCAACTTTTCGCGTTTACCGCCGTTTCAAAAATAAGCTAGAAGCTTCTAATTTTTATTCCATCGTTATTATTTTAAATAAATGATATCTTTTACCCTTTCCAAATAAAATCCTTTTGGCCTTTTTTTCTCCTATATTTTTATTCATCCTTTTCCGCAACTCTTCACCATCCAACAACTCCTTAAAAGTTTTAACTCCAATCGTCCATTCATAAATAAATGACATCATTTACCCTTATCAATTAATTTTTTTAATTTAATATATATCTCATATATATTATAAAAACAAAAACCATTTTTTATAAATTAAATATATCTCATATATTTAATAATATAAAAATAATATAATAATCACATCTTTTAAAATTTATGAAAATGTCTTTTTTTTTTTTTGTCTTTTTACATTTATCAACTGATCAAAAAACTAATTTTACCAAACATTTTTAAGCATAATCAGCTAGTTAACAGCTCTTCAGTTTTCAGCTTTTAGCTTATAGCTTTTCAGATTTTAACTACTTTTCAGCTTTTAACTAAATTTGTCAAACATAGCCGTTATGCTCTTCAAATCTTCTTTAATGTTTCACCTTTCTTTTGGGCTCCTTTGGTACCAAGTGGGTTTGTTTCTCTTGCTATAATCATTGCTCCAAAGTGTGCTACTTGATATGTTACAACTTGTGTTGCTTGGCCGTGTCTTGAGTTTTGCTACCAACACTTTGCTCCTTTGCTACAAAGTGTGCTATTACCTTAGCTTGTATGCTACCTCTTCTACCAACCTTTCTTCCTCGGTCTATTCTTTCTCGTATACGAATTGTAGCTCATTTTCATTGTTTTAGCTTCTTTGCATGCAGTAAGTCTTGCTCCAAGGTGTGCTATTAATCTTGCTTCTTGAGGCATTCGAATATATCTAGAAAAAAATATTTGGTTTCATCCTCTTCTTCTTGAAGTCTTCTACCATTTCTTCTATTTGAAATCTTCCACCATCTCTTCTACTTGGAAGTCTTCTATCATCTCTTCTACTTTGAAGTCTTCTAGAAAAAAATTAAATTAGCAAAATATTTTAATTAAAATTTAAACATACTTTAAATAGAACATCAACATTGCATAATATTGATGTGGAATGCATTTGAATTATGTACAACTGATAGTCTGATACATTGGACATATAATATTATTAATCGTTGGAAGAGAAAATGAGGTTTTCTTGATTTCCACAGCCTAAAAATTCTTCCTTATGTCATCTTGTTCGCTTGTCAGTAACATTTATTAAAAAAAACAGGACAGTGGACTATGAAAGTTAAGTGACCCCACTAAATATATTTGTATAACCAAAGTCATGTCAATCAATTTTTCCGCGGTAGAATTAGGGTTGTAATATGATTTTTTAAAATAAAAAATTTGTATCATATTGACCCTTAATTCATATTTGAAATATTAATAAACTAGGTATTTTGACTAATCTCATTAAAATTTAACAGGAGCTGGCTTATTAAGAAGCTAATTAACAAACATTTAGACAATCTATTGCCACACTAATATGCCTCCAACCGAATTATCATGTTTGATAACTGATGTAAAAAAATTTTCTTAAGAGTAATTTTCACTTTTAGTCATTGATTATATTGTGACATTGTCACATTTAACCATGTTCTTTTAATTTTGTCACATTATTATAATCTTGATTTTCATTTGCTCGCCATATATAATTAGTCATTTTAAAAAAATAATAATAAATAAAAAA